TCCCTCCTTTCTCTTCCTCTTCCCCTTCCCTTTGTCCTCCTACCAAAATTCGCAGGTCAATTTACGTCCCCCGAAGAATCTGCCGTTGAAGATCTCGATACACTCCTGCCGCCCCGTCAATCTCTGGGTATAATCTCCTCCCCTTCTTCCCAACCTCTCTCATCCCCTCAGCCCACCAACCTACCCGTTCCCCATCCTTTTCTTCCCTGCTCCCTCCATCACTCCTTCCAACATACCCAGCATTCATCCTTACTCTCCCTCTCCCTTTGCTTCACAGTCCGCTACGATTCCCCTCCCCCTCTCCTCCCCTCCCCTCCAATCTCCTCTCGCGCTCTCCTCCTGCCCTCACCTCGGCTGACGTCGCTTGTTTGAACTTGATCGCCACCACTCCCTCGGGGTTCCGATCAAAGATAGTCACCTACAGCCCAGCTGACTGACGCGAGAGAGGACAGAGAGGAAGAGGAAAGCGCACAGACAAGCTCGACAACCAGCAACAAAACACAAACACAAGCACTCGACATCAAAATCGACAGTTTGACACGTGAGTTCAAGTTCTCCAAGGTACTTGAAGACTCTGGGGTGAACGAAGACCAAAGTGCACAATCACTCACCTTCTCAACTTCGCCGAACTTCCGAGCCTCCATCTCCACTTCAAACTGAACATGTGATAAGATCTCCTCATCCTCCTCATCCTCCTCATCCTCCTCCTCCTCATCATCATCATCATCATCATCATCATCATCATCCTGCTCCTGCTCCTGCTCCTGCTCCTCTTCCTCCTCTCCTTAGTCCCAATTCTTTCCCCATCATCCTCGCCTTCTCTTCCCCTCATCCCCCGACTGCACCTGGAGGGTGATGGCTGCTTCTGCGTCTACTTTCATTTCTTCCACGGTGAACATGTTCTGAGAGCGAGGAGTCAGTTGAGATGATCGTGACTGAACAGGAGGGAAGGTAGAGGATTGAGCCAAGAGAGGAGCAGAGCAGTGTAGGGATCATATTCGGAGAGAGGAGGGAGAGTGAATGGAGTAGACAAGGCAGGAGGAGAGCAAGGAGGAGAAGAGAGGAAGAGCAGCAGATTACTTTCAAAATCACGATCCTCAATCCTCTCCCATCGTCAATTCCTTCGTCGGCTCCCCAATCAAGAGCTCTTTCCTGGGATCTGAATGACAACAAGCAAACATGCACATCACCTAGATCCACCTGCTTCTTAATGGCCTGAATACGCTTCTGCCGCTCTTTCTTGGCTTCTTCGGACATCTTCTCTTTCTCAACATACTGTAGCAATTTGGTCTCAACAGGAGAAAATGCAAACGAGAGGAGACAGACAGACAGACAGACAGACAGACAGAAAGAAAGACAGAGTCAGGGACAGGGACAGGGACAGGGAGGGGAACAGGAATCCAGACCTGCTGTCCCTTCATCTGAAATTGAGCCGGTTGAACTTTCAGCGGGTACTTGTCATCTCGAAAGTTCGACCCATCGGCGATCTGCAACACCTTCGAGACAAACTCAGGCGGACGACTCGAGTGCCTTGGGGGTCCAGCTAGGGAGAGACGCAAGTCCTTGAAGGGAGGGAGGCGGGTTGGGGCGAGCAAGAGGAAGAGAAAGAGGTAGGGAAGGGAAGGAGGGGCAAGGAAACTGAATGAACTCTCACCAGGGGGATGGAAGCAGCTTTGAGGAAGGCGATTCGGGCGTCTCCCTTCAGATTGCCGTCCTCATCCCTGACATGCCTGTCATCGCAGTTGGAGGATACGTCACGAGCTGCATCACCTGTAGAGTTTGATCTTGGGGGTCTTGCCGTCCTCCTCACTCGGTTTGAGGACGCCGAACTTGCTGCGGAGACATCAGGACAAGCTGCCCCTCGCACTTGAAGATGCCTGAAGAAAGTCGCAACTTCCTCCATGGTCGTGTCAACTGGCAGGCCCTGCGGGACATCAGACATGGTTAAGCTGAGCTGAGCCCAGAGAGGCATAGAGACTCGGAGACAAGTTGAGACAAAAAATGAGCGGGAAGGGTTGGTGGTGGAGGAGGAGGAGGAGTAGTGTGGAAGAAGAGAAGGAGGAGGGTCATACCTGCACATACACGTAGGTGTTGTCCTTGATCTTCTTCCATCGAGGCTTGTTCTTCTTCTTCTTCTTCTTCTTCGCATCGTTCGTTTCCGCCTTCCCTTGCGCCGCCGCTGGCTCCGCAGTGACCTGATTCTTCTCATCGGCATAATATCCTACTCCCTGTCTCCATCAAATCATCGTTCTATCCACATGAATCGTCCAGCCCTCAACCTGGTCTCCCTTCTTGAACGAGTATCCGGGCTGATGATACATCAGAGCTCTCTCAACCCTCCCCTTCTCGCACCTTGGACCCTTCGAACTTCTCGGCTGCTATGAAGGCCGGGCCCAAGGCAAAGGGACAGAGAGGCTGGGAGGCAGACAAAGTCGAATCAAGGCCTGAAAGGTTTCTACACTCCTCAAACTCTTACCTGCTGCTCCTTGTTCTCAGTGTTCAGCCAAAGTTTCTCTCCTAGACGTCATCGGGTCAATGCATCGCCCTAACCCGCTATCCCTCACTCCTTCGACCCCCATTTCCTCTCCAATCATCCAACTTCCCTCCCCTCCCCTTCCCACACCCCCATCCCCCCCATGTATTTGTATCTCACCTTTTGCTGTCCAGCACAGCATCCAGGGTGCTCGAACCTTGGCCGCTTCCTCGTCATCGAATGTCTGCAGCCCTTGCCGTCACACCATGCAGGGGCACAAGCGACGCTCGAGTGAAGGCAAACACAGGCATGGCAGGAAGCAGACGAACAAGGAACTGAGCTGAGCGACAAGGAAAGAGCTAGAGGTCCGCAACATGCAAGAGAAGCAGGAGGAATAAGGCACGAGAGAGGAGGGAAGAGGAGGAGGAGAGAGAGGAAGAGAGAGAGGAGGAGAGGGGGGAGGAGAGGAAGAGGAGTCGAGGGAGGGAGGGAGGGCAAGGCTGCCTGTACCGTAGGAGTCTGGGGAGGTTCCCAAGAGCTCTCGAACGTGTACTTGTTGGCGTAGTAGGTTTTGCCTTCCGGAGTTGTTGTTGACGCCCACTGCATGTCCCAAAGCTGCTTGCCGGTGAACTTGACGACTCTGAAACCAGGTGAGACAACGCCCATGAACAAACAAGAAAGAGTGCAGGACAAATTTTGAACAGCATCCATAGATCATACATCAGAACTCAAGAACACAATCAAAAACCATCTGACTTGTCTCAACTCTCACCAAACTAAAAGAATCTCACGTGTACATCAACTCTCAACAAACTGAAATGATCTCACGTATACATCAACTATGATCAAGCTAAAAGAATCTCATTCAAGGTCGGAGGAACGTACTCGATATGTTCTTCGTTCGCTGGGCCTGCTCCTTCCCCATCGTCCTCCTCGTCCTCTTCATCCGCGATGGATTGGAAGTAGGATCTCAGCTCATCTACAGCTGAGATGCTCGCATAATCCTCCATCCCTTCCTTCCACACGGAGGTCAACCCGTCGATCTCGCCAGAGAGCCAGAGAGCTTCCAGAAGGTCGAGGGGCAAGGGACCGGTCTTCTCTCCCTCCTTGTTCTTGTACCACCTGCATCACAACATCCACATCAGTCAAGATGTTCTGTCAATGCTGTGTCTGCAGAGTTTCCACTCGTTCTACGGCCTTTCTCTTGAAGGGGATCAGTTGTGAAGTACTGATGGTACAAAATTTCAATCTAAGGGGATTTCGCTCATTCTCCTACATCACGTAGCTGACTTGCTACAAATGTGTCGCGTCGATCATATCATTCACAACGAAAGTCATTCCGTTGTTCTCGCATGTGCTCACATATCAGTCTGCTCGTTGAATCTACAGGAATCTGCATTTTCTCATCTAACACAACCTATACTCGCCTTGAACGTTCCATTGTTCTCAGCATTGAAACTAGACGCGTACATCCTCCATTCATTCATGGCTGCCTTCCTCCACACTTTGATCCTGCTGCCATGTCGCTGTTTGCCATCTCCCTCCATCGCCGCTCCCTCTTACCATTCCGTCGTTGCCGCCGCCATGTCCGCCTCTTCCACCTCGAATTTTCTCTTATTTTACAGGAGTCTTGTCAAAAATAAGCACTTTCTGCTTATCGGCCCGGGGCTGACGGTGGCACTCCGAGGCTCCGAGCCCGCCTCAACCCCTGACTGATCATCATGATCAGGAACCGTGAAGATTTCGGATCCGATCGCGCAAGTTATGCCACCCATCACCCGCCGAAGGCCTTTCTTCCCTTCACTGATGTCCCTCTGAGTTCAAGGGCACGGCGTGTGGTGCTGCCTCCTCCTTTTGTTGAGGCGGGTTTGTAGGGTTTATCCTCGTCCTCCTTTGTTTGCTCCGGTTTGCCTTTCTTTTTCAGCCCGATTCAATACTCAGAAAAGAATGCCATTTGCATGAGAGATAGACTGTATGCTAGGTGCCAAAGTCACGCAGAAATCATGATATCGACCTCAGTTGCAACAAGCCTGGCAGTTTTTGCTCAAGACCGAGCCTGAGAGGACCTTAGCAAGACGGCTAGGAAGGTCCCTCTTCGTCCCACCGCAGTGACACTACATGGCCGCCTTGAAACGCCACGGTAAGCCGGGTTCGTCTTGGTTTACAAGCCTGACAGATTTCTTAACTCGCCGCGCTATCTGACTGGCACGGCTGGCACCATCGACACTGGGCAGATTCATGCACTTGCAGCAGTCATGAGGCTAGAGTCGGCCCTGATAGACAGCCGGTAGTCTATCCTGAAGTCAATCATGACTCGATCGCGGCCCGGGCCGGGCCGGGCCGGTCACCGAGCCTGAGTATATGCCGCGCACTGAGCAGTAGGTAGCAAGCAAGGTAGCAGCAGGTAGCAGCGGGCAGCAGCAGGTAGCAGCAGGTAGCAGATGGCACGGATAGAGAGAGGGATGAGCATGCCATGGAAGAGAAGATGAGGAGGAACCATGCAATGTCTCTCCTGCTGTGGAGGAGAGGGACGACGAAGACGCTGAGCACATGGCTGTTCATTGCTTGTTCCCATGTTGCGGCTCAATACGAAGGATCCCCCTCTGACCTCAATGAGGCTGGCGAGATCGCGGGTGGACTATGGTGGGACAGCTACGGGAGGCAAGTACGAGCAGATCGCCCCTGGGCATGGTGGAGGCTTGATGATGCCGGTGTAAGCCAGACAGCAGCATGCGCGGCTCCACAGGCTGAAGGCTGCATGCCGGGAGCGTACAGGTGCGACAGACTTGGGCTGCAGCCAGGAGGAGTGGCAGCAGTGACAGGGGTACCGTACTCGCTCAGTGCAGTGACAGTAGCAGGAGAAGAGGTTGCAGGAGCGGCCAGACTGGCTGGAATCGCCTGCTTTCAGCTTTCGTTTAACCCTCCCAGCAGCTTTTCCTGCTCCCCCAGCCCCACGATCCCTCCCCCTGTCGCTGCTCCTTTCTCGCTGGAGTTGTGGGTCCGTCCTCTGCAGAGCGGAGAGGGAGTGGCTCAGAACGTGCTTGCCATGCAGTGCGGAGGGATGTTTGAACTTGCTCTCACGGAACTTCTGCACCTATCCCTCTCGTTGCCCGGCCTACCTGCTCCCTTGCTATCTCAACGAGCCCTTGCGACTGAGGTCTGGGGGCATGTGGCCATCTCAGTCGATGGATCTTGGGTCCACTTGTACATGAACGGGACCAGGGAGGGTAAGAAGCAGCTCCTCCGGGGACAAGGAGCTCCGTTGTGTTCGTCTCAGCCCTGTACCATCACCGTCGGAGGAGGAGCTCGCTTCTTGAATGCAGATGTGAGTTCTTGTTGTTGATGCTTTCTTCATCATCTCTTCTTTGTTTGCTGTCTGCCATTCAAGACGGCCCGAATGGTTGTGAACGTCAAGACTGATTGACTTCTTATGATGGCCAGGTCGATGAGGTAGCATTCTACACCAAGTCTTTGTCGCAGGTACTGGGTTGTTGTGGCCTCCCTTGCTCTCTCTGAATGCTTTACAGACACAGCTTGCTCGTCACTTTGTTGCTATATCATACAACAGCAACTTCAAAAGACCGCACTCGTCATGTCTCAGGTCCCCTCCCCTCCCCTGTCCCTCCCGCCTCCCATTTCCCCTCCTCCCCCTTCACCTGTTCCCCCCCCACCTCTCTCCCTCTGTCTCTCCCTCCACTGGTCTTCCCCTCTGCTTCTTCATCTATGTCCACCCTCATCTCAGCTCCTCCTCCTTGTCCTCTTCAGCTCATCACATGGCGAGCAGCCCTCCTCAGACGCACCTCAACCCGGTTCAAAGCTGCGCAGTAGCAGACGTGGGGCAGAAGCGTCTGGACCAGCTCGGTGACGAGTATCGGAGCAGGAGGAGAAGTGCTGACAAGCTTCTGGCAGCTCATATGGCCAACGGCCGACCATCCGTCCCCGCCAGTGAGCTTGACAGCCGCAGCAGCAACCCTGTCATGCAGGGCCCGGACCCTTGGCCAGTCAACTCTGCTATGGCAGGTTGAGGGCGGGTTGGGTGTCAACGGACCCAGGAAGGAGTGTGTTGGTGCTCAGAGCTTCTTTCTTGCAATGAGGCTGTAGGGCAGGATGTGAGAAGCGATAGCTTGATCAAGATGTCATGCTGTGATGGTGAGGGTTGTGGGAATCATCAAGAGCTGGTGTCGAGTTTGAGCTTGTTTGTCCATATTTCTCGCTTCCTTTCACTCGTTTCGGCATAGGATTATGTTGCAGTATTTTATTTGTAAAGTTAGATATCATGTTATACGTCTCGTTTGCTCAGATTTTAACTTTTCACCGTCTTCACTAGCTCACCGCTCTTTCTTCCCTCACATTACTTCCTCTTTCGTTCCCTCTCTCATCCTTCTACCCTTTGCTTCCATCTTTCCCTCTCGTCTTTCTCTGCTCTTTTATTCTTCCATCACATGGGTACTCACTTATTCTTTTCATTGGTGGCCCTTCTCTGTATGTGCACTCCCATCCTCTCTTCTCGTGCCCCCTGTTTCACTCCTCTCTTGTCTTCCCCTCTCCTTCTCCCTCTCCCTTTCCTTCTATCCTTCGTTCGTCTTGTCTCGTCTCCTCATGTTTCTTCCCTTTTGTCCATGTTTACCCCCTCCTCTCCCTTCTTCCTCCCCTCAGTCTTACCTTCATATCTCGGTTTCGTCCTCTCTCTCTCTCTGAGGGTTCTTCCCATCTCTTTGTCTTCCTCTGTCTACGTCCTCCTCATATCTCAGTCTCCTCCTCCTCTCTCTCGCTATCTTCCCCTCCCTGTCTCCTCCCTCTTCCCCTCCCCTTCACGTTCTTCTCCTCCCTCTCTCATGTCTCATAAAGATCCCGTCGGTCAATCTTCTGGGATTCAAGCTAAACAATTTCATGGGTGGGTAGTGCTTGACAGAGGGTGGGGTGATAAATTGATAACCCGTACTTCCCCCATTAAAAATATGTCAATTTACTGTAGGGGTCCAAGGTCTGTTCAATGACAGTGGGGTTCAGGTTCGTTGTGGGGTTATCAGGACATGTAAAGGGTGGGGTAGGGTGGTGTAAATTGTGATTTGGGGCTGTAAGAAGAACTGATGGAAGGGGGGCGGAGGAGAGAGGAGGAGAGGAGAGGAGAGGAGAGGAGGAGGAGGAGGAGGAGGAGGAGGAGGGAGGAGGAGGAGGGAGGAGGAGGAGAGAGGAGGAGGAGGAGGAGGAGGAGGAGGAGGAGGAGGATGAGGAGGAGACTGGGAGAGTTTGAAGAGAGCAGGACTACAAGGAGAGGAGGGAAAATGCAATGCTGCCAGAAGAGTAAAGAATGCGAGGACAGGTGGAATAGGATGCGAAGGAGACTAGATAGACTGAAAGAGAAGAGGAGCAGAGATTGTATGTGACGGGATTAAGCAATGTTATGCTGTTGGGAGAAATGAGTCAATAACGATGAAGAAGTTGAAGTGTTGGGAATGTGTAGAAGGAGAAGTTGGGTTATGGAGAAAGGGGGATTTAAGGGTACTAGGTGGAGGGAATCGAGGGTATGGCTCGAAGAAGGTAGGTGCTTGGCTTTCCGGACTGATTTGTCTCTTTCCAGTCTCTCGATGCGTGCTCACCTTCCCCTCCTCTGCTGCTTCCTCGCAGTCAGATCTGCTGCTGCCTTCCTCCCGAGCCCGACAGGGCTGTCGGCATGCGCACCAGCACAGGCTGCTTGCTGCGGGCTTGCGCTGCGTCCCGCTACCTCTGCAACCAAGAGCGCTGCCTCCTTGCGACGCTCCCCCCTCACGCCTGTGACGATGGGACTCTTCGATGCGTTTGCCGGACCCGGTTGAGTCCTCTCCCTCCACTCCCTCCCTGCCTGTTCTGTCCTGCTCGTTGACTCTCCTTGATCCCCGCTGCTGCTGCTGCTGCTGCTGCACATTCTCCTCCTTCTCCCGGACCTATGATCCTGCCCTCCTCCTCCTCCTCCTGCTGCTGCTGCTCCTGCTTCTGCCTCATCTCCTCGACTTGTCCTGCTCTCACCATGCTTCCTTCAGAGATCAACGTGGTCAAGCTCCAAGTAGCCGTGCACTGCGACACTCGCGGCCCCTCCTCCCTCCTTGGTCGAGCATGTCCAGTGCCCCTGCCAAGACGCTGACTTGGGGGCAGGAACGATCAGCAGGATCGCGGACGAGGCGGACACGGAGACGGAGGTCAGGAGGCTGAGACGCTCCTGCTGCCTGAGCCCTCGTGCAGGAAGGACTGGCCGACCTCGTCTCGGATGTGGCGCTTGCGCTGCTGCGGAAGGAGGTGGGAGGATGGAGAGGAGGAGGTCGAGGGGAGGAACGGGGGAGAGGGGGGGAGAGGAGGACGTGGCAGGGGGAGGGGAGGATGGTGAGGGAGGAGAGAGATCTGGAGGGGAAGGATGAGGAGAAGGGAAGGGGATGAGAGAGAGATGAAGGGGAGGAGGGGGAGGCAGGGGGAGACAGGGGGAGGAGGAGGAGGAGGAGGAGGAGGAGGAGGAGGAGGAGGAGATTGTCTATTGTTGACGCCTCCGACCAGAGCGATTGGGTTTCAGCATCGCTGGAGACGAAAGTGAGAAGGAGGGTCGCCCTCAGGGCCAGCGATGACGTGCTCTTGCTAGGTGACGAGGGATGAGGATGAGGGGGAGTCGCTCTTCGGGCAGGTTAGCATGCAGCTGCTCCTGTGGCGGCACGTGACTGCGGCTGCCGCCAGTTCTCCTTGCAAGAGCGAGCCAAGATCGAGCGAGAGACCTTCAACAAGTCTGTCCTGCCCCTCCTTGCGCTCCTGCTCCTGCTCCTGCTCCTGCTCCTCCTCCTCAATCACTACCCCCACCTCTTGCTTCTCGATTCTCCCCTCCGCCCTGCTTCTACTTCGTGTACTTGTACTCGCTGCTTGGCTGCTGCTGCGCTTGCTTATTCCTTATGTCCTCTTCCGCCTCCTCGTAATCCTTTCCTCCCGCCTCGTACTCCTCCTTTCCCCCTTCCCCTTCCGCTTCCTCCTCCTCCGCCATGACTGTCGTGGCTTCAGAGTGTCAGGCATCGACAAGTCCGAGTCTCGCAGCTCGGAGGGGAAGGTGAGGCGCGTCTGTTGCTAGCTTCCAACCTCTCAAGCTGCGGTCCAGCTGGATGACATCGGCAAGGCGACTGAGGCTGTCATCACGATGATCCTCGCCATAGAGGGGAAGGAGCTCCCGAGCGTCAAGGATATGAAGTCTCTCCGTACCTGCTTGACTGGCAAGCAACACCCACCCCTTCCCTCCCTCTCCCCTCCTTGAGCGCCATCCCCCCCCTGCCGCCTCCCCCAACACACAAACAACCCTTACCTTACTCCCTTGCC